TGATTAGCTCTAATGAGATAAATTTGATCCTGGTTACTTGACAAGATAGAGCTTTGCATAAAAGACTGGATTGCATAGGATTAATTGGTATAAATGAAAGTTCAACACCAAAATTTTAGAACATCGCTCAAATGTCTCCACTAACAGCGCCATGTATCTGTTATTTCTGGAATTAGGGTTTTTAAAGATGGTAATTTGAATTGGCATATTTTATGATTGTGGTGAAACAATAAATTGTTTTATATGAGAAATATTTAAAACCCAATTATGTAATTCTCCTTAAGGCTATTTAAGTAAAGAAAAAAATGCTTAAAATTGGGGTGTAACTATTACTAACAAAATTCATAGTGATAATATAATTACCTTTTTCAAAAATCAAGTCCATTTTTTTCAGTAAGTCTTCGTTTAGTCAGAATTGAAATAAGATTTTAGCTGATTTTGAGAAAAGATGATGAACTATGTAATTGAAAAGATGTGAATCCGATAAAATATGTAAATTAAATTAACTGTTAACTTTCATTTAGGCCTCGTTTGATAGCCATTTTTTTCAAAATACATCTCTCTCTCTCTCTTCTTTTCAACCACACATTCTTTATTAAAATAATATTATACGTAAATAAAAAGCTTTTCCTTATTTCTCAACCACATATTTTACATCAATTTACTATTCTAAAATGCATTTTTACATAAAAATGCCTATCAAACACCCCTTTAAATTAAAATATTGATTTAATTCCCTACAAAATATGAGCTAAGTATTTAAAATTAAACTGCACTTCAAATAGTAAAGCAAGAATCGTGCTCTTGAATTGGCGTGTTTAATTACACTTGATTCACAATAATTTATTAATAATTTGATATTGTAGTTGTAAAGTTCCATACATTGAAGTAACGTGATCACGCTATAGAGATTTACTTCATTACTCCATTGGTAGTAGGTGTTGTATTAATAAAAAATATTAGGGGATGATAAAAATGAAAATTGACAGGTCGCCACTATTTTGTCCCAATTTTAATACCTAAATCACTCAATTTGTAAATTAAAAATCCATGAAAGACTCCCTTTGCCTGCGTCCACGCATGTGTTCATTGCCAGGGATATACTACAGGAAATATATATTGTACAACTAATATTTCAATGATCAAATAAATCTGATTGTTAAAAATTATTTTCAACTACCAAAGGATACGTTTAATAGTAGAAAAATTAGTTGAAAATATATTATAACAACTAGAAAATTAGTTGTGAATCCTATATTTTCAATGACCAAATTAATATCGGTCATTTTGGGTGGATGCCAACGGGAGAAACCCCATCAAAATATTTGTTAATATTTAATGATAACGTTCGAAATACAAATAATATAAAAATAAATATTCAATGACCATAGTGGTTGGTCATTAACAAAGTAAAAAAAAAAAAAAAACAATTAATTTTATCTCATTGTTGGAAGTAGTGGGAAATTTGACATTCAACGACTAGTATCACTTAGAGTGTGTTTGATTACATTTATTTTCCATGGAAAATATCAATTTTCCTTTTAAATTCCTATTTGAAGTGTTTGATTGCTATTTTTTTCCATGGAAAATATTTTCCAACTTTTGAAAATATGTCTAATTTTCCTTGTTTTTAAGGAAAATATTTTCCTTGGGTAGAGGTGGTTTTTATTTTCCACAAAAAATGGAAAACATTTTCTTTTCTAGGTAATATTTTCCATACCAATCAAACACACTCTTTAGTGGTTAAAGGTGGCATTCGATGATCAAATATTTTTACTTGTTGGAAGTTGATAACAACTTGGTTACAAATTCAAATTTGGCGCCAAAATAGTTTTCAATATTCAATGACTATACTCCGTGGTAGATCTAGGAATTGGAACCAGTGAGGACAGTCGACGAATGTTAACCATTGACCCACTCAATAGTGAGATCGTTTATTAATATTTAATTAAATAATATTAAAATAATTTAATTATTATATAAATGCCCTAAAACGTAAATAACATATTAACTATCATCAAGTTTCCATTTCGAAAATCACAATTTTCACAAATATTAACAGATTGCTTAAGTCCACGGATACTAAAAGTTTCCAATTCCAAAATCCCCAATTTTCACAAAACCATCAATTTTCGCAAATTCCAGAGTCCACATCTATGATATCACATATTCTCAAATTCACAAAGTGCCTAATTTTCATAGACGTTAACTGCTGGCTCACAACTCTCAAGTCATAGATAGACTCACAGTAAATTCTTATAAAACATAAACTCATAAATTCATAATTCATAATTCATAACCGATCAATTTAACTGATAACCCATAATTTCATAATAATAAATCAATAAATGAACTAGAAGAACAAAAACTTAAAAATTAAAATTAAAAAAGAAATAAAATTGAACAAAGGCAGGAGGCTCATCACTCACTTCACACCATCACAAGTGGAATCAGTTACTGGTGATTCAGTGGTGGTGTAGTGCTGCAGTGTTCGGTGGCTCAGAATCGATGACTCGATGGTGGCTCCACGTGAGTGCCAGAAGCAAAGAATAGGGTTTGGAAATTGGAATTGGATGGTATTGTTTGATTTTGGGTTTAGGGAAGTGCTACATATACATAATTGTCCACATAATGGTGTCCTTAATTACACGTGGCACGGGATCCAACCTTTAATTCAAATTTCACACTTGCACATCAACAATCGGATGTTTGCCACATCACATTATGGATACCATTATGTACAAGTAGAATTTTCCTTGGGTTTAAAGTATGGAGTACATTTGTGGCTCTGTGTGTATGCTTTGTGAAGCGAATAAAAACAGCAAGCCAAACAGGCTTTGCATCTTCAATCTATTGGATTTAGTAATTGGGCCTAACATTTTTTTCCTCAACAACAGGCCCAAAAGAAAAAGCCCACAACTTTAAAAAACAAAATTGGCCTAAATCATTTTTGTTCATCTTCCAAATTACTCCCATTCTTCCCTGTCGGTTGCACCTGTGTTTCAACGCTTCATTCTTTGTCCATGGCAGCGCGGCGACTATAGGTTCCAGCGGAGCTAGCATGTGTGGCTATGCCCTCTCATCGGGTGTTGGTTCCGCCACTGATTATCCTATTGATCGTTGAGGATGATTTTGCAGCTAAAAACTATTTGAATTGTTTAATATTAAAACTAAGATAATTAAATGTAAGTATAATATTCATTGTCAAAAATACTAAAAAAATTTCAAATCGATTATGTCCTTCTATAACTATGTGATTTGTTTTAACAAATTTTTAAACGTTGTTGTTATTATTATTATTATTATTATTATTATTATTATTATTTGCATGTTGATAATACCTTATATATCACTGTGGCAAAAAAACCAATCCTACCCCGAATGACACAAAATTTGTTCGATTCGTTGGTTTGGTGGGATATGAGCGAGGTTTTTTACTGTCTTGGAATCGGGGCGGGGCAACTTTTTGGTGCATCATCCCATTTAACTTTAAAAAATAAAAATAAAAATAAACGAAACATATGCCCTCGAAGAGGCCGTATTGAACTTAATCGGGGCACATGGGAAATGGAGAGGAAAGTAGCTAGTAGGGTGATGCACAAAATGATCGATCATATCGAATTCATCCCATTGTCAATAAGAGTGAATAAGCCCATTTTGACAGTTATTTTACCATTTGTATGATATTCATTTTGTCGAAAATTTCGTGCAGTTTACATCGCTATTAAGTTTTCATGAAGCAAATATAACACTTTAAGTTCTCATGCTTAACTGTTTCAACATAAGATAACATTGTTAAAATATGGTTCTACTTTTATTTATTGGTAACGAGAACTTACGTCAAACCTTTTTTATCATAGATTTTTAATAGCATAATTAACTTATTTAGTACATATTTAAATCAATTTCAGTATCCTTATATTATTCCAGTATTCTAATAGACAACATATACGTATTTGATCATCATGACTTTTAATTCTGGATATACTATGCTGGACCGCGCGAGTGCTGCTATAGGCATAAAAAACATAGACACTGGCAAGTCCCCTTCATTTACTTCTCTTTGCTCTTGCTGTTGATTTCTCGTGGCCATTTGTCCAATTGGCTGTATAGGGATAGGGTTATTTAAATTGTCAGCCATTTGATGCTGCTGTTTTTGTTTGTGTTCCATGCGTCTTCGTCTGAAGGTACGTTCTATTTCCGAATCAAACGGTTCAAAAACGTCGCCTTGGACACTAAGCATACAACGAACACTCTTTTCTTTTCTTTTCTTTTTTTAAATAAAAGAAAATAAATAAATAGAAAATTTTAAAATTTAAAATAGAAAAAATAGATTAAGACTAAAAGTAATAATCCACTGCAACAGCGTCAAAAACTTGTTGTCGATTTTATCCCGCAAGTGGACGGATCGTAACAAGTAGTAAAGTGGACCTTTTGAGTCCGGATTATCGTTTCCACGAGGACTATATTTTAGTACTTAATTTATTATTCCTAACTTCTATTTAATGAAAATAAATAAATAAATAGAAATTGAATGTGATTTTTAAATCTAAATACTAGAAATTTCGTGAATGCGACAGAAAATTAGTGAGAATTCAATTAATAAATGGGAATTAGGGCGGAACAATTTCACCTATTGATCACCTTTATTTCTATTATCGAGATTCATAAGCTAAAGTAGTGTTTGGTCGAATTCTTCTATTATATTCAACTTACCCCTCTCGAGTTCTCGTTGAGTCTATTTAATTAGTTCAATTCCATATCTCTATGCGAATTAAATTTAATTAAACGAAATAACAGTTCTAAGAATTTCTAGATGACCGCAGCAATTAATATAGGTATCTCTACACGTTATATTAATTTACCGAATTTTAATATGTGGTCTAAACAAGAATCCGCATCTCTACGTAATTATTGTTCACAAAATTATTGAATAATTTGCCAAATAATTCAAAGCATTAGAAATATAATTAACAAAAATCTCAAATAAAAGAAATAAAGGTCCCAAATCAGTTACATTATTCGCCCTAAAATAAATTTAGCTAAACATATTAATGAAAGAAAAGCAAGATAAATTCATGGAAGACATCACCCGATTTATTGACGGAACGTGATTAAAGTTTTGGCACGTGAATCTCCGTCTTCAGCCGTCTTTTCTTTTATTTTTGTCTCCTGCGTCCCTCTCTTTTGTAATTCCAGCAACCAATTAATTCTTCCCAAAGCTGCCATGTGGAATATATGTATGTATATGAATTATGGCAGTCAAAATTTGAATCCCCAAGAACTCCCCAAAACTGCTGTTTTATGCGTATAGCTATTTAATTCAGCAAAAGGCAACCTACAATTTCCTCCCCTCCGTTTCCTGTGCTATTATTAGAGCCGCAATAATTTACTCCCTAAAGCTGCGGTCCAATTTTCTCCCAGCAGGCTGTCCCTCTCAATTGATTATCCACGTTCTGCCGCAGAAATTTATTTTCCCCAAAAAACTCTCTCTACATTTTCTGTTGGTTGGTTGGTATGTATATATATATTATATATAAAAAAAGTTAGGGCCACCCTAGTTGACTAAGAGAAGGACTCTCTCTCCAATTTCTTGGCTTGTACGTGTTTTTCTATATAGAATAGCCTAGCCTCTGCCTTTGTTGACTAAAGAAAACTCTAAAAAGACTCCAATTACCTCATAATTATTCTTCAAGTCATTCCACTTCTAAGTTAATGCAATGTAGTCCTTGAGTTCCTCCATCGTGCAATCAACATCCTCTTCAATTTTTCAAGTGTTGAATTTGGTCTTCAATATTGCATCCACTAGCCAATTTGTTCTTCATCCTTTTCCATTTGCTCCAAACGAGTCCATCACTAAAAACAAACTAAAATCAACTCAAGTTTAATAGAAATTAATAATTTGACGACATAAAAGCTTAATAAAATGGTCTAAAAAAAGTGCATAATTTGTACTCATTACTAGTCAACTAACTTATAAATCATCAAGGAACTCTTTTGGTTGTGCATGCCTGTACTTTTTAGAACTCTGAGCTACTTTTCTAATCTTGTGGATCAACAAGAACCTCATCCTTGAGCGTATAAACTCCAAGCACCTCTTCCCAAAACTCCAAAACCCTAAAGGCTAATTGGTGAAGGTAGGGCTTTGTTTTGGTCTTTGATCAAGGATCTTTCTGTGCTTTGATCTATAGGTTGAAGCAAGAAATATTGGAATATGAATATGACTTTCAAAGGATAATCTCTTGACTTATAACAAGGCTTTACCAAAGATGGATCAATATTAATGTATGAATATTTTGATCTTGTATTGAATCGAAGAATCAATGTGTGTTTGGATATTCAATTATGTGATCTCGAATGCTATATAATGATTCAACACATCCTAGGACGTTCATGGGCAATATATTCATAACAATTAGTATTTGGGGGTGAAAAGAGATTCAAAATTAGCATTATCAGGATTCTTCCCAGATGTCACCACCGCTTGAGCAGTGACGACCATGTTTTGAGTGCTCGAGCACCAACATTGCAACAAATGAGTGGTGTTGAATCAGTTTCTTGCTCTGCTTCTTGAAATTCAAATCTTGATCTTCTTGTATTTATTTGACATAAACTATTTTTACTACAACTAAGATTCAATAACTCTTACTTTGACTTTGATTACAACTCGATAAACTCCTAATATAATTCAACTGGGACTTGATTTGATTAAGTAAATGTTTCATTAAAAATTTGAAAATTGCTAATTATCATTTGGACTTAACAATCTCCTCCTTGACATTCCGTGATAAAATCATTTTATTTTAAAACAAAATTTAAGACAGCCTAACTACACAAGACTAAATTTTCAAATCTTAGCTTGTCAACTGTTTCATGAAACACATGAAAACAACAATATCACGTGAAAAATAAGAGGAGACTGACAATTTAAAAAATATAACTAAGTTATATAAAACAACATAAGTAAAACATATGTAATATCAAAGCATGCAATAATATGTGTAATTAATAACTTAGACATAACATCTAAAAAAATAATATCAACGTTAAAGTTCCAATCAATCAAAAATTTCTAAGACTCTTGCTAAGTCACATATCAGCTTCTCGACCTAACTTATAATACCAACTCTCCTAAAATAAATACTCTCTCCGTAAATAAATATTCTCTACCCACCCCCTTTTTGTTACAATGACTAAGGGAAGTAAGTAATGTAATCACGAGTGTAATATTAAGAGGAATGAGTTTAAAAAATATGCACATGTAAAAATATTCAAATTTTTGCAAAACATGTGATGGGAGATAATAAATTCTTTTTCTTTTGAGACAATTGTTTTTCTAAATTTTTTAGATATACCATCATGAACAATTATTGCTTGATATATATATAAACAGTAAACTTTTTCCATATAACTTATTTTAAACCTAAATTGAGTAAATTGTATAAGTTATTCATGCGTGCAAAATGTCACTAAACTCTTGTAAGCAAGTTTTAAAACCTTAAAATTGACATGTATAAACGACATTGGCTAATGAATATATTCTTCAAATTATGAAAGTCAAACACAGTGCTCTTAGGGCCTTTTAAATTAAAAGCTAATATTTGATGTTGTATATATGTTTCTTTCTTTATGAGCACAAACGTATATATTTTCTCTTTTATTTTTCAAATCTTAGTACGGACTCTTCTTTATTAAGCTTTCTACATGATCACTACATCAAGCTTTAGACCAATTACTTCAAATTCTGTTAACTAATAGGGTACCAGATATTAAGATACCCCCACAAGTTTAATCACTCAAATCATATAGGCTACAATTTTTTCACATATTTCTTTTGAAACTTAATAACATTTTTTTTTCTTTTAAAGAGGATATACAAGATTTTAAGTCAACTAATTTAAAGGACATTCAGACTCTTTCCATATTTATTGCATGTATCATCTCACATCTCACTTAATAGGTGCAATGTTGTTGATACATGCAATAACCTATATCAAGCACTCCAAATAAGTTCTAATAAAGTTAATGAAAATTTTATTTATCATTCATTAATTATATGAATACTTGATCACTAATTAACATGTCCAAAAAATATAAATTATAAAAATTTCTTTTTCTTTTTCATTTTTTTATTTTCTCATTTTTATTTTCCATAAAATAATGCAAAACAAAAAATGAGGAAAAAATATAAAGTACTACATGCATATATAAGTAAACATCATGATTAAAACATATGCATGCACCCAAAATTACTAATCAATGAAGCATAAAAAAGCTCTTATTTTGAAGAGCGATGCGAGCAATACCACAGCTAATATGATTGCTTTAATCTATGAGTTCACTCTTTTTTACCAAAACCTTCTTGGATGAAGATGTAATCTTAGTTAATTGAGTAATGAACTTAGTTAAATAACTCACTTGATTAGTCAAGAATCTAAAATGAGCAGTTAGATCTTATTTATTGTTCCTAATCAAAGGCTCATGACAGTTAGTCTACTGTATCCCAACTCACCACAATTATGACAAGTGGGAATAAATATAGGAGCAAACCTAGATTTCAAATTTTGAACCTTAGGTAGAGGAAATCTATGTTGTACACACGATTTTAGTTCTTGGCCATTTACATTTTTTTGGTCTTATTCCTACTTAAGAGCTCGCGATACTTAGGTCTTATGTGTTCTAACTTACCACAACAGTGACATGTAGGAATGAACTTAGGCTTGATCGAGGCGGGTACACTCTTGTTTTTAAAAGAGAAAGCGGTATGAGAATTTGTCTATGTTTAAATCCTTCACTTCCTCTATTCCCAACTAGTTTTTGCAATTCTAATATTTTGTCAAGCTTGTTAGAACCACTAGCAAAAGATTGAAGTTGGGCATTAGATCTCCAGACTCTCACAAAAGATTTAACTTTACATCTAACGATTCTTTCTCAACCATTGACTCATTCAATTTACTACTAGACTCCTTAAGTTTGTCTTCTAAACTCTCCTTTTCTAGTTCAAGTTTATACAATTTCTTAAAGTATTTAACTTTTTTAACTTAAGACACTCCTCTAATAATTCATCAAAAGCCTCATAAATATCCTTATTTTCCTCAAATCCATTATCAGAATGTACTAGACTCATCTAGACAAAATTGGATCAAATGCCACTTGAAAGATTAAATTAGCCAAATATTTATATCCAAATTAAGCAGAATTAAATTGAAATAATTCCCATGTCTAAACAATCATATACTTTTAGATCAAAAGAAATAAAAATAAATAACACCAAATATGATCACGAAAAAAAATCCCTAACTCGATAAAAAAACCTCCGGGCAAACTTACGAATAAAGTGCACTAGAAAAGTTAACTTACAATTACTTTAGACACTGCTAAATTTTAGCTAACTCTAGTTAACTAATTTGCACCGAGAAACTCCTTTGATTGTGCACACCCACACTTCTTAGAATTCTAAGCCACTTTTCTTCCATGTGGGTCAACAAGAATGAATCTCCTCCTTGAGAGCAAGAACTCCAAGCGCCTTTTCCAAAAACTCCATAACTCTGAAGGCTGAGTAGCAAAGGTAAGGCATTGTTTATGTATTTGATCTCTCTGTGCTTTGATCTGTCTGTTGAAGCAAGTGATATTGAAATATGAATATAGCTTTCAAAGGATACTCTCTTAACTTATAACAAGGCTGTACCAATGATGAATCAATTAATGAATATATGAATATTTTGATCTTGTGTTGAATCTAAGAATCAATGTGTGCGTGGATCTTCAATTATGTGATCTCTAATGTAATATAATGATTCAATACACTTTGGGACGTTCATGCGGCTGTATGTTTAAAATGGGTAGTGTTTTGGGTAAAAGAGATTCAAAATCAGCATTAAAATCGAATCAGGATTCTTCCCAGATGTTACATGGGAACTGTAAATTTGGAGATAATTGTAAGTACTTACCTCAGTAGTTGTCCACTGGGGATTGCTTTTCTCATTCGACTCCGCCTGAAGTCCACCAGTGGGTACTCTTGGACCATCTAAACATATAAATAGAAATACCAGCCGGAACTTTTTTGGATAAGCAATTTAATCCAAATATAAAAAAACTATATGTGGGCTTTTGTTTAACTCACCATTTTATTAAAGTTGGATTCTTTTGTGCAGATTGTTAGTTATTTTATTTTTTCATGTTGTGGTGGGTTTGCTGTTAAGTGTGGTGTTGTATATGGAGGAGTTCTATCTGTTCACCCTGTAGGACTTTTTATCAATAAACGACAAGATTCATAAGAGAGACGTGTTCAAATCAATAGGTAATCATTTTACGTTAGTATCTAACAATAATCACTTCTACAAGGATCCCATTAATTGATAATGTAGTTGCACTTTGTTATCAGATACCCTGCTAACATTACTCTTCTACGTGGAAATCACGATACAGGCAGCTAAAACAGGTAATCTCCACATAACTTTGTGAATTCTTTATCAGTTGACATTTGTTATCATCTCCTAGCTGGCAAATATGAATCCCTTTCACTCTTTCGCTTGTTTTGTTATTTTTTCATAGATTAAGAAATGCCAGTCGATAAGAGTTCGACATTGCAGACTAATTTATTGTTATCTTGTTATTTTACAATCTTGCATTTTGCATTTCTTTTTAAAGATGTTTTGAAAGGACTCTGAATGATATAAATTAATTAGGCCTCGCATTTGCCAAGCATTTCATTTTTGTAGTTTTTTCTTGGCAGCAATATGTAACTACTGTTTTATCATTTATGAAGGACGGTAATGTGCAACCATACAAAAAGTCTGAGCCCATTTCTGAGGCCAACAATGAACTTGTTACGGTGGTGGTTGTTGAAAACTTGCAGGACATGGTCTTGAACTCAGGGAAAAATGGTGAGCATCAATATTCACTTTTGGATCATCTTAACGTACGTCTCTTCACTTTTGGATCTGCTTACAAAGAGCTATTGAGTAATATCAAATTTTTCGATGAGATGCACTGTAACAATGAACATGGATGAATAATTAAGAAGTGGGGTCCCATTATATATGTAGTTTTATTTATTATAATGGTATAATATATATATTTCAACACTCTAATATTATATAATTTACATGGATCAATAAAATCTAATGATTGACCTTCTACAAGAACAGATGTCTCAACTAGACATAAATGAATAACCTATGCCTTTGAAAAAATATGAAATATATGAGCAAGTTTTGAGTAAGAGATTTAACTACGTTCATCAATAGAAAAGTTCAAAGAAGTCAAGGTTGGAAAATTATTGTAATTGTGTCGAGAATGTTGCTTTACCAAATGAGGTTCAAGATCTTTGTTCTCAATTGAAATCTATGTAGGCATTCTTAAGTCACATTCCTGAAGAGTCTTTTCATCGGCCTATTCAACCTGATGTGTCTCCATTCAATTATTCAAATGATGATAAGTAATGTGTTGTTTTAGTTTGTCCTTGTTTGGCCTCCGTTTAAATAAAAATTCATTTTTCTTTCTTTTCTTATCAATCACATTTTTCAATAAAAAAATATTATATGTAAAAAAAAATTTCTTCCTCTTTTTTAACCACATGTTTTCCAAAAAAATTATTGTTCTTCTCATTATAATGTGGAATAATGGAGCCCAAACATGGGCTTCATTTTGGGTGATGTGGTAATAGTTATATATATTTTTTCGATCAAAATAATGGAGCCCAAACATTGTCTTTATTTACAATTGCTTTACTTCATTTCTTATGATTTTTTACGGTTGTGGGAAATATTTTCTTCTAATGTGATGTGAATGAGTGAAAATTATAGAGCCATAAATATTACTATTTGACAATTATATTTATCGTTATTCTAATATTTCAATTGTATATATAAATGTTTTATAATAACTTTTTGGTTGTTGAAAAGAAAGGAAACTAAATTTTAGTTGTTTCAATGATATTTTATCTAAAAAAATAATTAATATAGTGATAAATCAAGCAGTCCCTAAAATGAAATTAATTGGTTTTTAATATAATTCTTAACAACCATTTATTTCATTGTTGAAATGAAAGGCAGCTAAAATTTGATAGCTTTTATTGTATTTTAATGACAAAAATAGTTGATACAACAACCAAACAACTAGTTGTTGAAAAAAGAATTGATTGTCAACATAAATTTTTTACGATCAATTATTTAGTTTCTATATTAATACATTTAACGATTAAACAAATATTTAGTTGTTAAGTACATTCGTTAATACTTCTTTGCCAATCAAGGAACGATCAACTAATTTTGGTCGTTAAATGTGATCAACACCCAAAAATGTGTATTCTAAAAAAATTTATATAGTTGTTGAATGTGATCATTTCTGAAGCTCTTGTTTGTAGGAGATTAAAATTAGAGTTTTAGCAAATTGAGATAAAAGTTAATATAAGTGTGGTTGAAAAGTTATGAGTTCCAAAAAAAACATGGTTAAAACTTATTGTTGATTTTAACTTTGACAAAAATCTAGATTTTAATTTCGATGAAAAAGGAACATAGTCTTCTTTTTATATCAACTGAAGAATTGCTTGTAGCATGGGGGATATAAATAAAATTCCTATATTTCAAGTCGATGTGGTGTAAGTGACTATAAGTAAATCCGTTTCTTCATATTTGATGCCATCTTTTGATTCATTAGTAAAGGTTATCCTAAAATTTTTACGGATATAAATTATGTGGTTGAATTTTATCACAAGATTTCTTGTCCAACATGATGAAAATAAAATACATGTAATCATAGTTTGCGAACTATTTGCTTTTTTTGACATCGATTTTCTGCCCGGATGATATGGTCAACGGATCTTACCTTAACTCACTGTCATTTAGATAGTTCCATGCACATTTGGAAATCGTTAATTGTATGTGACCTTCTTCAATTGTGGTGGCAGCGGCATCGAGCACTTTCATGATCAAGTCCGTCAACTTGTGTCAGTATATATGAGTGTGAGATGGTCGGAAGATGTTTGTCACGTTACTCCGTAGGTATTAGGGGCTTATGAGTAATAAAATGAAAGAGCAATCTTACTTGGGTGTGTTAAATTTTTTTGCCTTCAAATGACACTAAATGTGTGCTTTTATAATAAAAGATGAGAAATGTCCACTTTTAGATGATAAGACATGTGGTCTTATCAATGCGTCTTTTCCTAGGTGTCATTCAATCAATCCTTAGTTCATGGCATTTAATGTTACTGACAATAGACACCCTATAGTCTTGGCGTGACCTCTGAAAATTAGTCTGAGAAACAAAATTATAATTATTAAATAGATAATTTCCAAAAATCAACTCCACATTTTGAATAAATATTTTAAGTCGAGGGAACCTAAAGTATATCCAATGGTGGTGTGAAATAGAGACTGAGATTGCCAAAGTGGATGAAAATTCTCTCCAATGGAAAGATGCAAATTGCAATTTTTGAGAAAAATTTGTGAATTTATACCATTTTTTATATCTACGAGAGGCCAAAAGTGAATTTAGATATTTCTGTTGGAGTATAAATTGAACTTATTTCAATTGGGATGTAAATGAAACTACAAAAGTTATTTTAAGGATACTAGTTTACATCACCATTATAGATGTTCTTAATTAGCAGTTAGAATTGTAAAGCGAGAGACATGAGGGCTTGAATTGACATGTTCTAATTACACATGATTCATTATAATTTATTTTTAAAAATGATAACGTACTTAGTTGCAAAGTTCCATGCATAAAAGATACGTCTTTACATTATAGAGATTGTACTTTATTTCTTCATTAGTTGATGTTGTATTAATAAAAATATTAGGGGATGAAAAATAGAAAAGTGACAGGGTGCCACTAAATTTTTTCAATTTTAATACCTAAACCACGCAATTTGTAAATTAAATATCCATAAAAAATCCCTTTCCTGCGACAACATATGCGGGCATTCTAGGGGGTGTACTTGCATTGCACGTTAGTTGGGTATTGTTAAAAGTAAATGTATGTAAATTTTAGGAAAATCCATTTGTAAATGTTAAAGGTATTCATAAGTTGATTGAAATTGACTTAATATTTGTCTATTTTCTTTGTATACTTCTGATTCTTTTTAAGAACGTAGGGAATTTACCTATAATTGGATCAGTCATTTGTTTTTGTGGGTAACCTTTATATATATATATAGCCAAACTTTCCATTTTTGGAATGGAATAGGATCAGGTCAAGCTAGAAGAAAAACCTTTTTTACTTAAAGGCGTTGATTATTAGTGGCATCTTGAAAACTTCCGAGTTTAGGACCGAGTCAACTATTCGATCAAATGATTTATATTAGCCTTGTCCAAAATATGATTTAGTGCACCTCAACATGATTTTCTATCTCAGCCCCTAATTCATATTATGATTATAATAACTAAAAATTACCAAGATATACAACAGAACAATATCTATACTCAATTGCATCATAAAACGATTTTCCATGTCGACAGGCACCACGGGAAATCCTAAAATATAGCTTAAAATGTTAAATGCAATTTCATGTACAATTATGCCAGTTAAAATACATCTCTAAAATCCTTACCTGATAATAACTTCAGTTAATAGCTCCGACACACAATAATATGGCTTACTCTATTGACCACAAAGAAAAACTTCAAAATAAAAAAATAATAATAATAAAATAGGTACAAATTCTCCAGTTTGTTTAGACATTTTTATAAGAATTGGTAGTTAAAAATTGTGACAGTAACCGAAATATTTCAACTCATTATTTTGCACTGACCCCCACCCTAGATTGCAATCGAAAAAAGTTGCATGTTAGCTTTCATCTCTTCCAATGACGAGTTGTATTACAACTAATAACTCATGGCTACCATAATCTAGTGCCATTATCACCAAAGCTTTGAATAAATAAGAACTCTCTTCGGCGTTTTTTTGTGGTGTGAATTTAACTTTGAGCAGGCACCAGCATATAAGCCACCATTTTATTGAGCAAGTAAGAAACAGAAAGTAAGGAAATAAGGAATACCTCTCGCAAGGGTGAAGCTTTCTTGTGTACCTTTTCACAGAAACCTATACAATTAGAAAGATAACAGCTTTTGAGAATTTTTATATATAGGGGATTAAAAAAATAAGAGTAATGATTATATATCATCAATCTCCAAAGGTGTAGCTTTAAGTAGTTCAGTCACCCTTCTATAAAGTGCCTGTAAAAACATGAACCCAACATTTACAAATCAAGTATTATCAAAGCGTCCAATGATGTTGAACAAGAATGTAAATTCCTACTGTATCAAATTAATTAATGTCTAGCAAGCCAAAAATAATAAAAACTCCAAGTCAAAACGGAAAGATGAAAAGAAACGTAAACTTTGTCCAAAAAGCATTTTTTCCATATATTAAATAAAAACCATGCTTATATCAATAATCCTTTATTAGACTCATTTCCCTACGAATTGAACAAGTGTACGAGATCTTCAGGTTAGGAATTTACTTAATCATGCATAGCGAAATATAAATAATATTTCAATTCCTACAAAGGATCTGTTTTATGTTTAGATAGAAACGTAGTTTGACCCAAATAACACCTAGAAAATGAATAAATAGGTGTTTATGTGGAATTTAAACCAGTTAGTTAATAATTAAAACAAGTCACAGTTATTAATTTTATCCAAATAAATCCACATGCATACTACCGTTTGTTAAATTGCCACAGTGTAGTAAATTACAGAAAAATAAAGAACACAAGTAATTTGATGCCAAAGAAAACCCCTTGCGTGATTAAAAACTCCGGACCCAAACCAGTATAAATCCTCTATAAACAAAAACCAACTTACAGTACCGCTAGACTCAACCAACACTAGTTTTTTGACCTTCAGACTGTAATTCCCCAAAGTCCTCATGGAATGCGTGCTCTTGCATTAACTCTCGGCTCTTGATTTCATCTATCTCCGGTGGATTCTAGAGAACCTTGACAGATGCTCTGAAAGGAAAGGTTTTGGTGTTGGATAGCTGTGGATTTTGATGTTTTTTTGAGTGTACCAACAAAAAAGTGGGAATGATTCAA